GGAGGGGGGAGAGGGAAGATACATTTCATAAAACAATGAACGCAATGTAATTGGTTCGTCAGCAACTTAAATTGGGGAGTGGGGGGGGGGGGGGGTCGCATTATGAACGCCAAAGTGGCAATAATAACAAAAAATGTTGTTTTGATATCATCGTCCAGGTAATCGATATGCATGCGCCAACATAATCTCCATTATTTATTCAACAAGTAACACGATGAAGATAGGAAGATATTGGAAGATGTCTAAAATGAGGTATGTAGAGGACTAAACGTGGTGGCGATGTGGTTTACGGATCAATTTGGTTACTAGAAATGTCGCCGACACAATTAGCTCGTGTTGGTTATACTATTGGTCTTCGCTATCCAGAAAGCCCCACCTTATCAAACTCACCTCATTGGTCATTCCCATTGTCACCGCATGAAATACATTGACGGATAAAAAACCAATATTTTAACACCCAATGTACTATTTTATTTAAGCAAACGAAATGCAACACAATTCTTCGTTGACACCATGACACCATTTTCCTAGGATGGATGCCTTTTGGTCATTGAAAAAGTAAATAGGAATTCCGAGTATGTGCAAAATAACGGGGAGTTTTCAGTTATATTTGCATGTGAGTCGTCACCTCTTCACTTAACTCATTAGCTCTGTTATTCACTAACTGTCACATCGGACATGGGACGAGCATCAGTTCAGTTTATGTGAAATCGGTTCTATTTCAAAGTAACATTTACTTTAAGTAGCAATGAATATGTCCAAAAATTTATACTTACCCTCGGCAAATAGAAGCCGATGACTTTTCGGTACTTCTTGACGGAAATACACTCCAAAATGGCTCAACGATAAATATGAACCTCCAGTGTCCAATTTGCAGTCGCTTTTTAATCTTTTATAAACATCTCATCAACAATATTGACTTCAAATCTAGTACGAATCGCTTCTAAAGAGTACATTTTCTCTAAACTAAGGTGAGAAGTAAAAGTGGTAATGAAATAGGACAAATCTCCCAACACATTCCAGCAATTATTCCCCCCCCCCTCCCCAAAGAAATGCTCATGCAATCCGATTGTGCTAATAATGTAATTGGTAGCACCTTTATGAATAGGAGGTCATAAGAGGACACTACATGCGTTGGAGAAAATAGCCAAATCGATGTGGTTTGTTTTCGAGCAGTCAGAATCAAGTCCAATCTTTCCCTTAACATAAATAATACGAATAAGCATTCAACTAAAGAGGCATAAGGTTAATGAATATCTTTCCATAAAAGTTATGAATTAGGTACAGTGTTGTCTTATTTCCGTTTATGCAAATAAATCAAAACAAGGAGATTAAGTGATAAGGAATCGGGTATCTTGAAACATTAACGATATAGGAAAAGCAGAGAAGAAAACATGGTCATTTTAGGCAATCACAATACACTCCAACACTGAATGATCAAAATAGCTCCAAACGAATAATTACCAAGTCATACAACAGACATATTATTAACGGCGAGTATTGAGGTAAACATTCTGAAATGAAAAAAAGGTGGTAAAAGGTAACTTGAAAATTATTACTTAATTAAGTGTTAGTAGTATTATTAGCAAGTGACGTGCAAAAGCTATTATGGCTTGAATATCGTCAAAAAAAGCCATAATATTGAACCGTGCCAAATGTGATAACTCTTTCGCAATAATATAAGTGACCTTCTTTTAATAGCACTTCATAAATGACACGGGATGGAAAATGTGGTCAATTGCAAAATTGCAGGTGACCTAGTTTCGTTCTATGTGTACGCCAATTCTGTTATCCGATCAATTCTAGTCAAATAATTTGGAAAGCGAGACTGGGAGATCACTAAAGAATGCATACCTTCAATCGTGAAATGGTTATCACTTACCTTAACAATTGACCTTAACCGATAGATTAGGGAGAAAGTGCCCTGAAGTCACTCCTATTAGGAAACCCGCATTCTTCCTCCCCAAATTTTGATCACAAATAACCAGTTAGGTTGACTATCCCATCAAGAGAGGATTAATCCCTTAATCTATAAGTTGTCAATTGCGGATTCGACCGAAGCATCATTGGCGTCATGATTACCACTGCTAATTATTTAGTCCTATATAATGTTATAAGGTTGCATTGCTTTTTATTAAGAGGAAAAATAGGTTTACACCATTGGATAAATATTACAGCTGTTTTGATTCCATATCTACCAAGTTTACAAGTTTCCAATCTCTGACAATATTTGCAAATGCCACTAGGATAGAATTACTATCTACACAAAAGTATTAGAGTTAATGAAACCAAGCCTCACGCCTTCTTTGCAGACAATTATTTGGGGTTTGAGTTATGGGGAGCTTCAGCTACTGGAAATGTTCCAGGTTTGTAATCCGAAAGAGAAATCGTTGATGATTTGCGATCCTGCAATATGAAAGTCAGATCAACTAGTTCTTGCACAAGGGAGGAGAGTTAGATCCACTTCAAACAACATGGGTGAGTTACACTCTTAAGGTTGTTTGAGCAAAGATAACACATTCCTATTTGCTGAGTTAGTAGCAAACGATTTGAAGGTCATTCCAGTATAAATTAAAACAATGAAAATTTCGCAAGCACAATCACCACAACCTAAGTGCAAATGCAAAACTTCTATTCCAGTGTGTTAGTTCACACCACGAGAAATGAGATTTACCGAATGTTGATCAGGTTTACTGAAAGCCTTTTTAACCTGCATTTTCAAACAAATTGTGTCATTAAAATTGATTTTATAAAGCAAAATTAGAGCAATATACGAATATTCAATTTTTCCGATAGCCAAAGATAATTAATAATGACGATTTTGATAGGCAATAAACAATCAATCAATTAATCAATAAGTTATCACTGTTCTTCCTCATTGTGCGTGTGTGTTTAGCGAATTGCTTATCAGGAAAGTTTACAAACAATTTGAATTAAAATGATTATTAACAAAACAAGGGATTTTAACAGACTTAAAGTGGTTTATTTTTAATTAAATTATCTAATCGCATGAAATGAAAGACAAGCCATAGCGAATAAAAATTAATTCGAAAAATTGAGCAAATTAGCACATAAAAGCACCATTTTATACTAGGGCACCAGAACAAAGCATTAAAGAATTCGGGAATGAGGGAGCGCGGAAGGAGGGGAGGAGGTGCTAACTTAGAGAAAATCAAAGCTTAAAACACTTAAGTCAGAAAGGCACGCACTTCATGAACACGCGGGAACATGTTGCCATTTTTCCCACGAAGTTGTTCTTGCTCTTTGAGCTTCTGATAGGCACGTTGAGCCTCCTCGGAGAGAAGGAAGTTCTTCATATTTTGACGACGTGCTTGTGGATCTTCCACTTGTTGGCAGACGTTCTTTGGAACCCAACCGGCTTGACCGTCTGGTAAGACACCTTTCAACCAACCTATTATAAATCAATAAAAATATTTTAGTGCGCTCCGTTGGCATAGCGGATTCACGCTTGGATATTACCTAGTGTTCTGGTTCAGTCGGAGCATATCAAATGATGGCATACATTTGATGATCTCTTAAACCTAAAATTAATAGCTTAACTAATTGAGGTGGGGGAGGGGGGAGGGGGGAGGGGGGGGGCTTGGAAAATGCAGAAAGAGCCAATAACAAAACTTTGCTAGACAGCCTATCACTACTACGTATTTACAACCGATACATGAATTCGAAACAGATCACTTACTCTATCCAAATATAAATGTCCCCCTACATCGACCACAGTGCCTCGGCTGCCTTTCAGTTCTTGATCAGAGGCAAAATGTTCTTCGTTTTAGCGACAACAGTTTATGCAAAGCCTGCAGAATGCCAAAGATGTTTAGAATATTTGCGTGTATGCTTAACTGCTTACATACACACATTTTCACCTACGTACGATGCTATCCTACGTATTAGGATTTTGTCTTTAAAGATAGAAAAAATTCCGATCCATGAATAACTTTATTATAACAAGGTCCTTAAATAAGTGGGCTCATTATTATGGCATGTTGTATTGTTGTAATTCACCACCGGATCTATGACTCCTTCTTTATTATTCATCTAGCATAAAAGTATTGTCCCGGTGAAACTTTATACAAGACTAACTGAAGGACGTTAATTGTTAATCACAAGAAAATCGAGCATACGACAGCTTTGAATCGTGTCACTGGTAGGAACCAACCTTGAGCATTTCACCTAGGAGGCAAAATTTTCTATAATTACTAGAAAGAAGGTGATACCGAAACGAATTGATCAGTTGTCACTCGTTTAACCCAAGAAAAGGGTTTTTTCCAAAGCTCTTCTCTGTTACGTGGGCAGTGATATGAAATTGTTTTGGTAACAGGCTCAAATTAGGCCACTCCTTTTATCGTCCAGGCCTAATAGGTGGGATTGGTGATTCTCCTCGCTGTAGATCCAAAAGAGAGCTGTAATCTCTCATGCTGCTGGTACCAAACGTGCAGCAAAAGGAGTGACATATTCAGTTCCCCTTCTCCAATCAACAGCGCTCATAAAATGAGCTCAATTTTGTCTACTAGTTAAGTGATAACATAAACTAACAAATAATACACGTATGCCTGTTCGAGGTAGATTAAAACAAGCAGCAAAATACAATTAAACTGATAGCAAGAGTTGAACTCAACTTGGAACCTGGATTGCTTATCCAGAAAGAAAAGAATTTGAAATGACGAACTGAGAAAGTAACCTTTTAAAACAAATCTTATTGTCCATTTTAGGTGAATTTGAACAAATGCAGCCAGAAGTACGCTAAAAGGATCTAACAATTGATTTTAAATTCGTTCTTTACAAAATGCATTTTTAGTATAGACAATTGCACTTTACGAAGGAGGCCCATCTATAGACAAGCTACTTTGTAATGCAGTAGGAGTGAAGTATGCAAATAAACCAAACTCAATTGACGTTGTTTTTTCGTCAAGAGCAAGAACCTTCAAAGGAGATATTAACTCCGAAATCTATCGTTAAGGCATATCATAAAATTTAGCAAATTGAAACCCCATTAAGTACAGCAATCATCTTGAAAATGGGTACCAAGTCAGCTCCACAGTGAAGGAGTTCCACTAGCTCTACTTTCCTATTTCTCAAAATATGAAAATTAAAGAACAGTTTAAAGGTCCCAAAGGAAATTCGAAAATCAATAATGCACCAAAAGAATTGATTAAAGTCTTTGCAATATGACTTGCACAATGTAAACCTCAAGGGACTCAAATCCTAACAAAAGTTATCGCATCATTATTGACCAGATTGTCATTAATAATAGTAATGAAATAAAAGAGAAGCACAGATCTGGAAGGTTCCATTTGACTATATGGGAAAGTATGTAGTTGGAGTATATGTGACCAGACTATTTATTAATACTACCAAATGATTTATTTGAAATTGTGTATGATTCCTTAGAAAATCAAGAACACAATGCATTTTGAGTGCAAACCACCTAGTCAGGAAATAAAGACCAGATTGTGAAGTTTGGACTTTGACAGCAAATGAAAAACTAAAATATTTTGCACTAACTTACCTGAGAGTACTCACTTGAGGAGATGTTAATTACCTTATATTCATCAAATCATCACTTCTTGCCTCATTAATTGAGCAGTTATAATGCGTTCCGTGTTTGGACACTTTACAATAATTAATGCTTGTACATAGGAGTGTGCGATAGACTTGCCTCCTCGTGGTGTACACTGGGCAACGTATACTCATACGGCAAAAA